CCCGCCACTCTCTGGCGGGACGGGTGCTACGAGACTCATAATAGATGTTGCCACAAATATGCTCTACCCATACCTTCATTAAATGCCAACAACGCCACAATTCAGTACAGGCTGGTGATCTCTGTCAAAACGTGTCTTGCCTCAATTTTTATCCAAATAGCAGGGTTCGTGACGAGGGCTGTGAGATATGACAACGTGCGATGGCTTGGTACGGCACCACGGATGGACCGAAAACGCGATCACCAACACCCACATTTACCCACGTTCTCTCGCTGCTCTGCGTCCAGCTTCATGAGTACATCCCTCGCCAAACGCAGCCGTTTCTCCTCCGCCGTCTCTCTGGCCTCCGCCTCCGCTTGTTCCTTGGCCTCCTCAACCTCTTTACGCTCCTTGCTCAACGCCGCTTCAGCACCGCCACCCCTATCCCCGTCCTCGGAGTCTGAATCTCCGTCATCCGGATCATCGTCACCCCAGGCGAGCGCGGATTGTGCCTGACGGCGAGTGAATTCAGCATACGTAACAAAGAGGGAATGCAAGCGTCACTTGCGGATGCTGGCACGTGAAATTGAAAACTGCCTTCAATGAGATTGAACGGTTGCTGGATTGCCCTTGTACAGCAGCAGCAGTACACATGCACGCTGGTAACAAAGACTAAGCGTCATGAAGAGAAGACGTGCAGGGCATCGCTGAAGCGGCCTCTCAAGTGCGGGGGGGCGTCCCATGTTCACCACAGACAGGACGTGTCCACGAGCACGAACTCCAGTATGAAGGCAATCGGTAGAACGCTACGGAGTACAAGGCAGGCACGGGGATGCCTGGCACGGAACTCTGTGCTCTACAGGCCATGCAACCAGCCGGCTATGCTTATCACATACCTGTTGTCTAGGACGTTTCGCGGTCCTTGGCTCTTGTCGTGAACTTCTGCCCCGAGAAGACCCTGTGCGAGATGACATGCCTCTGCTTCCGGCAGCGCCAATTGATCGCTTGGGTGGCATCGTGGGTGCGTGGGACAGACGCTGGACGCTGCTCTGGCTGCGGGTGGTTGAAATCTGGTGCGAAGAACGCGGGTTTCAGTAGGTTCCCGAGGGATTCTTGAGGAGGTGAGGGTATAGACACGGCCCCGCCATGCCGTTGCACTCACACGCGGCACTGGCTCCAGGCCGCGAGCGACGAGCCTTTCATCGGCAGCACCATGGTAGAGAAGGTCGCACCACCGTCCACCAAAGTGATCGGGAACGAGGTGAGCTTGTCTCGAACAAGAAGACCTTGAGAAGCTCCGACAGCCGCGCCCTTTCTTTTATGCGGAAACATGTTCCTGCTGTGACATCACGTGAGACAGCAGTACAGCAAGCAGCATGACCTGTGCGGTGTTGAATTGAACAGAGACATGTTTCGTGTTCTCTGCCCCTGTCATCCCCAACAGGCAATAAGATATGCTGTCAGATCGGCAACGTTATGACAACCTTACCTATTTGACTGCATGTCTTCCGAAGGTACTTGCATGGTGTGGTGCTGCTGTGAGCCGTTTGCAGTCACGAAAAGAGGGTCTGTTTCGACTCTCTAGGAACAGCAGGAAGATACATGTATCCATATCCAGATTTCGCTGTCTTCCCCCTCACCCATGAAGCTTGCTCCTGCCATCTTATCCAGGCGAAGGAAAAATTCCTGGCGTGGGCAGATTCTGAGCAGGGCTTCCAAGTCTCGCCAGATGTGGACCTGTTTCACGCCTTCTCAGAGGTGGGTCCCGTCCGTATCCACACGAAGTCATGATCGATCCCGGGTCCTGACGTCCCCGCACCTGCAGCGCAGTGAAAAAACACTGAACAGCCACGTGCCAATTATGCGGGAATTGGCCACCGCCGCTAGCAGTCCGTTGGAGCGCGCGCGTCTTCTTACGGCTGGTTTCGAACTGTTTTCGAATATGCCCACCGCCATTCTTTGGCGGCTCTCCAAGCGTGCACGACACAGGAGTACACCTAAGTATTGTGAAGACTCCCTAACTACTGGTACCAGATACCTCCGTCGGACCCTTGAGCGAGTTGAACTCCTTGAGCACCAGGTAACGGGATGTGCTGTTTGTTAGGGTAGTAAGCCGAGCCCAACCCCGCACTCCCCACTCCCAGGGCTATCGAGGGGTAGTGGCAACCAAGGACATCCCGCGCGACGCCGTGCTGGTACGCATTGCCCGCACCTGTTGCCTTGGACCGGAGACCACGGACGAATCTAAAGAATCTTGGACGAAGGCGATGTCGACCTCTGCGGTGGATGCCACAAAAACTATACAAGGGTGAGAGTTCGTCCAGTCAACATTAAGCCGGCTTCCGCTGAGCCATGAGGGTTTTTCAGCGTGTGTGACACGTTGACAATATCCAGCCCCGATCTGAAGTGTAGTAGTCGAAGTTGCGTTTTGCCATCGAACTTGGGTTTGTCGATCTGGAAAGACCGCAGTGGCGCTCCACCTTAAGCAAAACTCGTCACATGTCGTTCCGGCCCCTGCTTTGCTGCATCTCCAACCCTAACCGCGATCTACTGCCTGCAGGAATTCTTCGAAGCCTCCTGCGCCGCGTTTGACCCGCGCTTGCTTGACGGTGCTCCGGCTGCTGCACGAGCGAGGGCTGGGGGAATCTTCGCCATTCCACTCCTACCTGAGTGTTCTGCCGCAAGACCACCGCTTACCGCTCGAGTGGACCGGGGCAGAGGTTGGTTTGCTACAGGTGCGCCGCTTCATGTGTTGCTGATATTTCCTTTAATCTACCTTGTTCGTCGGCAAGTAGGGATCGCCTGGGCTCTAGCTTGGACGCATCTGATTGGCGCGTTCAGTCACAACTCACGTTGAGCGTTTGGTGAAAGACAGAATACCGTGTCGTGCTTACACTCTTACGCCCCCTCCCCCCCCCTCAGAGTCTGCTCTATTCTCGCAAAAATCGGTTTCGCAGCTTCGTTGGCATCCACCTTTACGAGGTTGCGTTTGTGCGTTTACACTCTGACGTAGCAGCATTTCTCGAGATGTCGGCAAGCGCCATGCGGTGTTATGGGCAGAAGGTAGTCACAGCTGCAGGTTTAGAGCGAAACTAATACTTGTACGGACTGACTGGTGTACGGTGCGTTCACCTCTTTGAATAATGCCATGGTGCTGCGCAGGGCACATCGGCGGAGCCACTGGTGGGGGCGGGAAGCCTTGACAGTCAATTCGAGGCGTTCCAACGAGTGGTCGCACAACATCCAACTGTGTGGGCGCCCAGCGTGTGCACCAAGGCCGCTTTCGCCAAAGGGGTGAATTGGGTGAGGCGGTAGCAGTTCAGGCCAATACTCAGTATTTTCGCTCACATCCATCAGCTAGAACGCACGCTGGCAACATTCGGGGGCGCAACACCGCAAGCCTCTTGTTCCCCTCCATCCAACACTCGTCAACAACGAAGTTGGCGAGAAATGGAGACGTCCACCCGGTATTGGCTGCGACGAAGTCGCGCGAACTTGAAAGCTCCCCTATTCTTGTTGCCCCCGTGGCCTTTCAGCTAAATGGTATCTCATGACTGCTGTGTCGCAGGTGCGCTCCAGGGGTTTCACAGTAATGGGTGATCCTCACATGATACCCGGGGCCGACATGTTCAACCATGATCCTAACAAGCAATCTGTGCAGATCGGCACAGATGGGGAGGAGCATTTCGTCATGAAAACTGTAAGTGCCCCAGGACAGGCAGGGCTCGCGGCAGACGGAGGTAATTGCGGTTTGTACACTTCGCAACCTTCACTGCTTCTCAGGGATCTGTGTTGTTGGTGTTGAACCGCTGTCTTCTTTCAAAGAGGCGAAGCAAAGGATCCCGCCCTCCTGTGTTGCACTCGTCGGTTGTCGTCCGCCCTTGTGCCCAGGTGCAGCCGGTAAAGGCTGGAGATGAGGTGTTCAGCAGCTTTGGCCACATTTCGAATGCCCAGCTCCTCAACTCGTATGGGTTCGTTCTACCCGGGTAAGGTTAGGAGGGAAATACATAATAATTTGTCATGGCCCAGCAGACTTTGTGTGTCATCAGAGCACGGCACAAGAATGATGTTTTTTTTCTAAGAACCCTCCTCCTGTACTGCAGCAGCACGCAAACGACCCTGAGACGCCCGAACGCCTTGTTTGGAAGGGCGTCGCCTTTCCACCTAACAACGTACCCGTTGTTGCCGTTGCGCTGGCAGAAACCCTTTTGATACCGTGCTCATCCCGACCCAGCTTGTCGTGGATACGTGCTACGCCACCTTCGTGACGCTTGAGGCTGATAAGCTCGGCGAGGCAGAGACCAAAAAGACGTGGGAGCAGCGACTGGCGATGTTTGCCAGCAACAGGGACACTGATGAGGGGGAGCAAGAGGCCTTCGTGGTTTCGAAGTACGACCTGCTGCCTGAGAGTCTGGCGGATATGGTCCAGGTGAGCTTGGATCAATCTAGCCTCGGGAAAATGAAGTTCGTATGCAAGCGTCGTCACTCTTCTCACCATGAAAAGCTCGTTCGTACTCCGTGTTCAGACCATGTGTTTGGAGCGGGGCATGTCCTACCCTTGCAAGAACCAGAAGTTTACGCAGGTCTGAAGCGTCGCTGTTTCGACCAACGCGGAGACTTGTGCTTCTTACACCACACGCGACATCGTGCATCGTTCAGACCTCAAAGGAGGGGCATAGAAGTACATTCGAACAGAGTCCGTGGTGCCCCAAAGTACCGCGTGGATTGTGCCTGGTCTTACCCCGCAATTGGTCTCACCATTCTGCCCTCGTGAATTCACAGCAGTGGGGTTGGCGCGGCAGCTGGCGCACCACTACATGGAGCACTGCTGTGATGTCTCAAAAGAGGACCTATACTATGGACGTGTCGTTGATGTTTTCGTGCTCATGATCGCAACCGTGATGTTGTCCTAACGATGCCTTTGTGTCTTTTCCGCCCTTACCAGATCCTCACCATGAGCAATGACGAAGAAGTCGTCTACGCGACTATTGCCGCAGTCAGCCAGGCGAAAATGGGACAGTACAGCCCTCTGTTACAGGACGCAAAATGCAACCCCGGCGAAGGGGCTCTTGGAGCGGACGCAAGAACGCTTGCGAGGATGCTTGTAAACGAGGAAAAAAAGGTCCTCCAAGATCTGAGACTTCAGCTCATGAGCGTGGTAAGCTGCAGATCAAATTCCCGGGCGAAGCTCCGTCCACCGCAATGACAGCAGGATTAGTCCTGTTATAGCTGTCCCATTCTACATGCCTCAGTTTGCATTCAGAAGATGTACTCGCTCCTGCAAAACACAAACAACAAGACGACCTGGTTGATGCGTACCACATGATATCACTGCTGTGTCCCCTCCGTTATTCCTCGTTTTCATCGACTCTCGTTCGTTCATGATCGCTTGCCAGTTCTCTTGTAGGACGCACCAAGACTAAACCCGCCTCTGCATCTCGTCTCACTCGCTTCAAGTTAGTACTGCTGCATCGGCCTTTCGACAGCTGAACGTGGCGTTGACGTACTCATCCCATAAGTTGCAAGTTCAAATCCCGGGGAATGGCCTGAGGGAAGTCTGCAACAGGTAGATCGCAAAGATGTCGTTTTATCAGCCGTGTCGGGATTCTACTTGGTATTGGGGTGCTATACATACCCTCTCTGTTCGTCCCGGCTTCAATCACGGTTCAGATTTTGGACGACAACGAGAATGAGGACAAGGACGAGGACGGAGGAAACAACGACAATAGTGGAAGAGGTGGTATTGCAAGTGGAACCATCCCGGACGCAAGCGAAGAAAAGGACACAAAGAAGAGGCGCAAGGGGTGATGTTGAACGCCAAACTCGATGATCTGTATATCACCGTCCCCTTTCGGGTGCCTATGGTGCCCATAGATGAAAAGTAGACGTGAGAAGCTTGTAACGTTCGAAGGCTGACACAGCAGGAGAGCAGCGCGAGCTAATAGTAAACCAAGTCGCGATGGGAAGCAAGGAGCCTTCCTCGCTCGTGTTACATAAAATCAATTGAGACTGATCTTCATTTGTATTCGGTGCACGTTGTACAAGAGAGAAAAATAGGGTGCTCCGACCCTCGTACGCCCCCACACGCGTACACCTCTATATGTTTTGAACTGCGGACAAAGGCAGCAACCGTTCGCACAAGTGTCTACCAAGCAATAAGACTGTCATATGCATACCGCTAAATATATGTACGAACATCTACCGCCCACACGTGAGGAAAACCTGTAACCAAATACTGGAGTACAAGTCACAGCGAATCGAGCCAAGGCACTCCATTATCGTCTCTAACATCGCAACAACAACCTCTATGACACGCAAAATAGGAGGAATCAGAAAAAGTCGACAAGAATTAGAAAAAACACGGGAAAAACAAAATCCTCGCCCTCTTTACACAGGGAAAAACAGACGCCGTTATCCACACGGCTTATTTGTACAGGTGAAAGTGTGTCCCCCCGAGAATCTTGCACTGAAACAACTCTTCGTCTCTACGAGACCACGCCTGTAACCAACACAAAATCAATCGCTTGGCTCGCTCCATCAACGTAGTTCTAGGTATCAAATTATACACCACACCTGCGGCCAGACGAAAGCAAACGACCACTTGTGGTGGGACGAGGGTAAATCCCTCTGTAAACAGGAACAAGTCGTTTATAACCTAACACAGATCATTTACTAAAATAACGCATTCCAAGAACACACGCGGGGAGAGAAAAAAGAGCCCACTTCGCCAAAATTCACATGTCACCTCACGCAAAAGAGAAAAGCAGAAAAGTCAAGTCGCCTTCTCTCGGGAAACCAATCTACCGCCACAACACACAAACCCTTTCTCCCGAGAACTCGACACCGCGCACGGCGTTTTCGGACAAATTCGAGTCTTGTAACGAAGGTGAGTACACCGGTATCCTCTCCCCGCAAAACACGTCTACAACCTTTTTCGTTCCACATGACCCCCTCCGTAAGCCTGTAACGTCAACCCCCCCTGGGGCAAAAGTTGTCCGCCTCGGCGTGAGCAAAAAAACGCTCCCGTGGTCTCGCAGTCAGCCCTGTAGAAACTGCTGCCGGGGCAACACATATCGCTCAAGAACCTGGCGCGACGTCCAAAACTCGGGAGGCAGGACGGCGCCGCTGTCCCGACTCGATGCCGCCTCTTCCTCGCTGCTCAAAGGCGAAGCGCCGCTTCCGTCTGCCGATTTCCTCTCGTTCGCAGCGTCCTCTTCAGAAAAGTCCGACCCGCCGCGGCTCTCCGACGTCGTGCTGCCTTGGTCCGACCAACCCCGGGGCTGCGCCTGCTTCTGCTTCGCGCCCTCGGTGCTCGTGTTCCCATCCTTTCGTCGCTGCTGTTGCTGTTGCGGCGCCACACGGACGCGCTTCACAGACCTCGTCTGCGCGGCCTCCATGAACGCGCACAGCGCCGAGGCGTCCTCGACCGCCTGCCCGGGGTTCGATGCCGCCGCCACAGGGTCAGCACCTGCTGACGTTGCGGGTGCCACCGCCGGCCGCTTAGATGCCTGCTCCGACAAGACCGACATCGCCATCGACGCCGCCAAGGGCGGAGACGGGGGCCGCGGCGGGACCTTGGTGGTGGCCGCGCTGCTTGGTCGCCGCCGGCTATGGGTCGAGAAAAACGAGGAGCAAGAAGACGAGGACGCCGAGGAAGAAGACGACGTCTGGCGACTCTGCCGGAAAGCACCCACAGAAGGCATTCTGGGCGTGGCCGGGGGCGAGACCGGCGTGGCGATAGCGGTTGCGCTGCTGCTGCTGCTGCTGCTGGCAACCCCTGAACCTGGTGCCTTCGAGCTGCTGTGGCTTTTGCCCTCCGCGAAGTCCCAGAGCGCCGCCAGGTACTCCGGGAGGGGCTCTTCGGGGATCGTCTCTCGCACCTCCTCTGCCCAGGTACCCTCTGGCAGCTGGATCCCGGACGCTCGGATTTCGTGCTCGAGTTGGGCATTTTCCACTTTCTGGAAGGTTCGGGGGAAACGTGTAGGGAAGGGGCGGGAGGGAGGCAACAACATCAGAGCAGGGCAACTATTTGGGGACTCTTTCGATTGAAACTTTCGATTGAAAGTGTAGCAACTTGGAGTTCGTGAACCTCCAGCTGGTTCAGGAATGTCAAAGGATCGTTCGCTCAGAAAGGAAACACGCAAATATTTACATTTTACAAAACACGACACAACGGTGGGATTCTCCCCGACATTTTGTCGTTGACACAGTAGAGAACTACAGGGGGATGTACTGTAAAATGAATGATACCTACACAGATATTTTTGAACTTGGCACCAGCTGGCATCACGGATATAAATCATCAGTGTACAGACTTTAAAAGACTTCAAGTCCAGTACCCTCCACTCACTGAAAATACTCCACCACATCCCGTTCGACTGTGGTGATATCTCGAGTGGGTAGTCTTTCCGTGTGTGTATTTGTTTTCCTTAATTAATTTTCAAGGAAGAGAGACCCCTGGTTAACGGTTCAAACGATGAAACGTTTTCCAGAAAAACACGATGCGTACACGCATGACTACGCACCCAGTCATGCGGGAGCAAACTCTTCGATGAAACATCCTTCGTAGCGAAGAGGTTCACTTTTGACGCTGGCCGTATTCGAAACAACGAGCAACTGCGGAGGAAAATGTGGAACGACCAGTCCTCCAACGCTTGCTGTGACATAAAACCCTCCACACATCATCCAACCATCTGCTCGACAACCTATATCTCCCACACGGACGCGTCGCAGCAAGGTCGACAAACGCTGCGTGCGTCAGTGAATACCACGCTGTTGAAGTGCCGTTCTTTTCTCATGGTGCATGAATTACTCCAAGGAGCACTTTCGAAGCCTTGGTCTACGCTTATCACCCATCTGTTCAACCAGTTGATCAACCAATGTGTTGCATTGGACGCTGTCTGGCTGGACTGACGACGCGCTGCTTCAGTCAGTCCTCAAGAGCTTCCACCAACTCAGGGAGAAGTGGCCAGCGGGAGCAAAAATGAAAACTGAATAAACATCAACTTCGTGCTTGTGTTTCATGACGAATGGACCTGAACAACCACCCACAATCCGTACCTCAGCAAGTAGGTAGCAGTAGCGGCTACGGTTCAACACAAGATTTTTAACAGAAAGTCCGGCGTTAACAGAGGTGAACTGGCTTGGCACGGCCAACATCGGTTTAACAGAAAATTTGGCGTATTTCCGAGGTTTTCTGTTCAATCGACCTTCTGGAGGCCGCACCACGTATAGGAGTGGTTTGTCCAGTGGGTGATTGGGTGGAAGTTGTCTTCGATGCTGGAGCATCCGTGGGCTCGTGTTGTAGATCCACAAGAGCTGCGAGTAGCAGCACATCTATGACAAGGCAACAACATACAGAGGTCTGACGCGTGATTTGTTTCTCAACACTTTTTACCACGAGCGCGATTTAGTTCTCAACACGTTTTGCTAAGAGCGTATAGCTGGTCCATGTTGCTCGCCAACCAACAGATAAAGCGGTGTGTAGAGCTAGCTAGCCCAAGGGCAGGCGCCACCTACGTTATGTGACATGAATGATACGCTCTCGATTAACTCTTATGGCACATACTGCTGTTGTTGGGACGACTGGGTCCATGTTCCACGGCCTTTCGTTTTGGCTACGTTATGACATAATATTATGGTTAAACCGTAGCAAAACGGTTTGACAAAAGTGCCGATATAACAGAGGAATTTGGCTTGTCACGACCCTATGTTAAACCATAGCGGCTAATGTACGGGTAAATATTGTGGTGGGAAATAGTCTTAACCGAGACAAACTTGGCAGCTTCTGGGCGCGGTCGCGAGGCTTGTGCAAGAAGGAAAAAGTGGGGTACGCACTGCCCCAGAGGGCATATTTTTTTACCTGATATAACACCGCCGTTAATCCGTAAGGCATTTTTCGTAGGGAACAGCGGTAGGGGGCAGAATATTATCAAGCGAATGGTTGGCCATTCCCGTGTTTCCCCATTTGTCTCGGCGATAGCTATCAAGTACAAGACATGATTACGGCAGAGGTCAATGCTCATGGGAAAAATACACAGACGAAAAAAGTCATCTGATACTTCAACGCGGAACTTTGAATCCCTGCTTGGCAACTATGTGTCAAGAGGCTGCACGCTTGAGTCATTCGTACATATGGTTGCATACCCCTACAAAACGGAGGAGAAACGTTCAGGCCACACCGCCAACCCAACGCAAAAACGATGGTGGTCCACAAAAATAACACAAGTCTTCCGATTACTACCGGTCTGCCCGCTGCTGTAAACACGTGTCCACTGATGGACAGACATCAACTCACGCAGATGCAGCATACAAAGACCAGATAAGACTGAAAGCCACATGGGTGCTAGCTCGCAAGCTTGATGTGGGGGGAGGGCGTTGGCATAGACCTCCAATAAATGCTGACGAACAACGGGTGACAAAAAACACCCCGCAAAGAGCATGGATAGAGCAGGAAATTCAGTCCTGGTACGTCATACCATACCATACCTCTCTCTCTCTCTCGCTGTGTGTGTCTTTTTGATGTTGCACTTGGGGGAGGGCAAGGCTGAGGCAACAAAAGGTGAATGAAGGGTGAATTGTGGACGACCAAACGCAACGCAAGTTCGGCAACGAAACAATGGAGGCATCGAATGAATAAACTTGATCTGGGCTATGGATAGAAAGAATACGTGGCACGGAGTAGTCTGAAGGCGGGCAATTCGGTGCATCAGATAGAGCTGGTTCGCTGGTTCACCTAACACCAAGGCCCCTGGGCCTATTTTCTCCTATCCATATGCACATGGTACAACAACTCGGGCGTGAGAGGAGTGGAGAGTACACCAAGTGGAACGCTCTCTTCATGGGGAGGACACTCCCAAAGATGGGTAAAGCGGAGTGGCGGGGCAGCTGCTGCAGCCGTCGTTCGGGAAAGGTTCCAAACGAACACGTGTCTTCCCAACCGACTTCACAACCGGACCAAGGACGCTGGACATATTTTTTTCAAAAAAATCCAACACAACAGCAGTCGTGATTTGCTTAACTCACCATCTTGTCGATCATGACGCTGCAGGCCTCCACGAACAGTTTCTTGCGGTTACGCGTGCGCTTGGCGTGCATGCGGTTCCGCTCCCTCCGCAGCGCGGTCCTGTCGGACAGCGTCCCCTTCGCGGCGCGCGAGCCGCCGCCGCCCTTGCCTCCGGCGTGCGTTGCAGCCTCCTCGTCGTCCCCGGCCTGCTGGCTCCCGTCCATCCTCTCAAACTCTTGTGTAATCTTGCGCAGGGCGTCTTCGTGCGATGCGACCTCCTGGCCCCAATCCCTGCTGCTGCCCTTGCTGCTCCTACTTGCCGCGGGAGTCGCGGCCGCCTTGGGGAGTTTCAACGCCGGGGACGAGCGAGATGATTGGTGTTGATTTCCAGCCGGCCCTTCCTGGCATTGCTGGGGGGAGCAGCTGAGGGCGAGGAGCACCCCCGCGGTATGGTGGTCGGTGGAAAGCTGAAGGAGGCGCTGGCGTTCCTGGCGAAGCCCCCAGATCTTAAGCTGCAGCTCCTGCACATGTTGCTTCTTCCGCTGGCGCGTCTTGCGCGCGTGGAGGCGATTCCGCTCGCGGTTGCGAGCCTTTCTGTCGGCTGCAACAGCTTTTCTGTCATCTGGTGTCATCTTCCGCTTCCCGGCCCTTTCGTCCTCCTCCTCGTCCTCGCTGCCCCCCTCCTCGTACGAAGCGGTGTCGCCACCACCATCGCGTGACCAGCTACATGTGTTCTCCTCCTCCTCCTCTGACTCGACGCCTGTCGCGGCCAGGTCCGCCGCCGCCGAGTTGGCCGCAACGGCAGCAAGGCCGAGGAGCTTGCCAGCGATCACCTCTTCCATCATGTGCCGCTGCCTCTTTCAGATCTGTATATTTCCTCCTTCCTGCTGTTGTTTCTCGAATGGGTTGTTCTTCGCGTTCAGGCTGACACGCCCGAGGACGGTGAGGGGTCAGGGCGGTAGCCAGGGGAGGGAAGGGCGAAACGGGGTCATGTTGTACAGTCGGCTTCGGTGGACATAGGGGGAGGGGGAGGGGCAGCCGCGAAGCCCATTTTTTGAGTCAGTGGTGTGAGGTCGATGACAGCAGCTTGCCTTATCCACGTGTAAAAACAGAGCAAAGTAACACGCGGCGACCATGGGAACGCAAGGGCACGTCAAACAGCACACCAACGAGACTTATCCTCACGCTCTCGTGGGGGGTAGCGGAGACAAAGTCTCGAGCGCAGTTGACAAGGTGGCGAACAACATGCGACAGCAAATAACGTGCCGCCATGCCTTATCGACAACAATGGCACGCGCGAAAAATATCCGTGCTGACTCTCTTTTTCCCTAAACCACTGAAACCATTCATCGCAAAGAAAGCGGAGCTTCCCTTGCAAGCTCACCTCTCTCGCCCTTGTGGCGGCAGGGCGAGGAAGCCTCTGAAGGTATGACCCTACCCGTGCGTGGGTGCTGTTTTGGTGGTAAGATGTTAATTGTAGCGGGTGGTTTGCGGATGAGTAAGAACAAACCTGGCCAAAGAGAGACGGGCAGCAAAAACGATCGGGGCAGATGGTGGTCGTTGCCAAGCGGTCTGTTCAGTCCCAACAGCCTCTGACGCGTCGCTACCGCAGATGCCCTGATTGGATACGCGGTCTCAGCCAACCAAGATAATGAAAACTTCAAGTTGAGAGGTAGGGAGCGACCAAGCGGGCAGAGGCCCGCAGAGACAGAGAGAACGCGGGCCTTGTGTGCTGTGTTCGAGAGACAAGCAGAACGTGTGCAGGTCATTGCGTGTTCAAAGGGAGGGTGGAGCTTGTAGGGGCGGTGATTCAAGGTGATGATATCTACGTGCATTGATACAATATCGTACGTTTGAACATGCTCCACGGAGACGGTTTCGCGTTCGAAGTTGGACGGATTGTTGTCTCTCTTCGTGAACGTGTGAAACTTGCTGTAACCGACGTAACGATTTCTACTCGGGACGTACAGGATGTTTGGCCTATGTGTGCCCAGTGCCCAGTGATTTCTCCACGGTCCATTGAACGTTGGTCAACAACCAGATGCCACCCTTGTGGTTGTTGGCACAGAAGGGCACGATTGTCCAAGGGTTTAGGCTAGTGCAGGACTTCTACAAGTCATATTGAACGCTCGTCAATGTTTGTAAGGGATCCCACCCTTTGGTTGACACAGGATCTGTCTACGCGCTGATCGCAGATGATGTGCATCGCCCCTTCTCTCTCTCTTTCTTTATCTCGCCCGAAGTACATATCAAACGTCACACCTAAATCACTGAGAGACTTACCGAATTGTGCGTGTCATGGCGTAGGCGTGAGATCGTTTTTTATTAAGTTATGCCATCTTGGTTTTTTGTCGCTACCCGTTGCCGTAACACCGATGGGTGCCATAGCACCGATACGGGTCCGGAAATGCAATTTAAATCATTTCGTTCTAGATTTTCAACGCACCCTTGGTGCGATGATACCGATGGGCGCGATACGGAAGAAATCACAGTGGCCATTTCACGGTTCTGAGTGAACGCACCCCGGTGCGATGACACCGATAGGTGCGATACTCGAGAAACGAACACAGACAGGCGTTCCTGGTACGAGTACCGTCTTTTATTTGTGCGTGATGCGGTACTTTATGAATGAAGCAGCTGATGCGAGGTTGGGGTAGCGTGTGCCAAAGACAACGGACGCTGTGGTTCCCTGCTGAGAAAGGTATTCGGTATGCTACTGCTGTATCGTTGTTCTTCCAACCTCCTTGTTGGTCGCACGCCCCTCATTTGCTGGCTGGTGCTTCCCTCTGTCTTTGTCAGCTTCAAGGGGCATGGTACCGGTACAATTGCAGCACCGTGTACGAACTCCTTCGTAATCGGTTGGTTGGAGGTGCGGGATGTGTGCTGCGTACTTCGTTGAGTGAGTGAGTGCATTTCATGTGCGGATTTCCGTAACAAAAAATAAAACTTGTACGCGCATAGTCTACATACATACCTCGCTCGTATGATATACATATAGTCTAGTCTATACATGAGAGGAATGAATCGCGCCCTAATTGGCACCAATCGGACCCTCTCAGCCGTTCATATAATAGTTCCACACGTGTCCTGGAGAGTATCGGTACCTTGCGGAAGCACGAAAATTGACATCTTAAGCAGGTTTTATATCGTTTATATCGCATCGGGTGCGACACCGGTGCCGGAAATTCAATTAAATCATGCTGTTCGTTCTCGATATTTTGCGCACCTCGGTGCCATCACACCGATGGGTGCGAAATCAACGATGAGTGCCACAACACGCACAATTACGGTACCCGTTTTCGCCACACACAGCAGCAGCAGTAGCCGCCGTGGTGTACGGGGGATGTTGAGTCCTTGCAGTGAGAGTCTCGGGGAGGAAAACCTGCTGCATACCGGCTTCAGCAAGCCTGCTGTTTACTGAACAGCCTAGACCACACAAAATTTTTCAGTTGACAGCAGCAGTGATTATACCAGCTGGTGCTCATCATGAAAACAACAATTGATACAAAGCAAGCTACAGCTAGTGGTAGGCGCCCACTAGCTGCCGGTTCGATGCTTACATGCATAGATAGGCTGCCTCCAACAGAGCACCTACCTTCTACTTTCTTCAAAGTTCTTATTTCGATCAGGCATCCGCCTTTGATAAATGAGGTTCTTTTCGTTTCTACGCCGAGGGCCCCACAGTTTTGCAGATGAGGACACAACAGCAGCAGCAGTTTTGCTCTTCTGGGAGGATTCAACCTGACACTTGAGGACAGACAAAGTAATAGTAGAAGAAAGCGTTGGCCAACAGGACCTACAGCAGTACCTCTGAATGTAAAATACCGCAGCTTCCGCCATCACCATAGGGTAGAAATACAGACACGGCATAATGAGCAACATTAAACCACTTACAAGTAGATGTACATGTCCGCGAAGGTCACGTTTGGCGATATTGTCTCCCCGCTCCCCGCCCGTCGTGTGGCTACAATACTACAGCTAGCTGTTGTTGGCCGGACCCCCACCCTTTCGGCAATGGTATCAGCAGGATCTCCTCCCTTCCTAACGGTGCTTCTCTCAAGCAAAACCCACGAGACGATGCGCCTCGTGCGTCAGCAGCTTGCTGAGATGACAACGAAAGGCGAGGGCTGCATATGGTACCCCGGATTCGGCCCATCAACATGGTCCCCTCTTCTTTCGAGAAGACGCAAGTTGGAATTACAGCCCCCACGTCAACTCGATGGCCTCCCAGTATGCCTTCGTGAGGCAGTTACCGCCAGCAATAACGTCTTTCATGGCCTCGAAATGTCGATCAAGAATGCAACCACTTCGTTTCAACCTAGACAGATGGCCGAGCTCCTGCAATTTCTCAAGGCATAAATACGTAAGACATGGTTCCCGTGCATGCACGCCACACACCATACACACAGCGTGGCTGAGCCAAACGCAATGTCACGGGACGAGGGGTATGCCGTGTACAAGCTCGTATCTGCCCCCCCAGTAATGTTTCAGGAGGTGCCCACCCCCCGCTCCCACGCATGAGATTTTGAATTTTTAACTGTTACCAAGTTCTGAAGTGCGGCGCCTACTGTATGTACTGCTGCATTGAACAGTATCACTCGTTTGTCGAGTTATTATCCCAGAGGAAACCTCAGTTGTTCGTTGTGCTGTACCGTAAATTTCCACCTTAGCCCCGATCGACAACATCGGGAGTTAGTATGGTGCGTGCGATCGGAAACGTCGATACTTGAGAGATCGACGAAGACGTGCTCTCCTTTCTCTTTCCCACCACCACTGAACCTGACCGCCCGAGTCGTTCGAGGTTCCCACAATAAGAGGGTGAGTGTTTTCACACACTACTACATAAGTTAAGTGTGATACAGGGGCGTTTTTTTGGACTGCGGGTACGATGTGGCGCGTGCGAACATCGTGAGATGTATTCGACCCTGGCTGGCTGCCGCCAACCCCCGGCCGCCGGTAGGTGGTAGTTCTCTCTAGTGATCATCATCTCCGTAGACCTACTACGTACACGAGACACACCAATGATGAGATGATGAGGGGTTCGACGTCAGCACGACCTCAAACGACGGTCACTCACTGAATTGTATCACAACACACAACACGAACAACACACAGTATATTAGTTGTGTTGGTCGACAACGCCAATTAATTTCTAAATAACTGTAGCATGTGCACACCTCCAATGCAGCGTCGTGTCAACGTCGGCGTGTAGACCCAACGCTCCATCATCCGTCCGTACGGGGGAGGGGGCGGGGGGGCGCACTCATGTTTTTCATGCAACAGCTGTTAGACCATTGACCACGCGTCGTCGAAAGGATGCAGCATTGTTCCCACAGGACCCATCACCAACGGCCAATCGTTCCTCCCTGCTATGTCAAAGTTGACTCCAGAACGTTTTCCCTAGTCCATCTATCCTATCGATATCACTTCCTACCTTTTCAACCCACTTCCTATGCCCTAGTCAGCTACCGTCTTCTCCTAGCTATTCCATGCCTCAAACATCTCCGTGTACCTTCCTTCTGCTTTCCCCAGCTCAATCATGTGCATTTCTTTCTATTTCTTGTACAACGGACATTCCGCCACAACATGAACCCGGTCTTCGCAGTAGGAGCCACATTCGCATTTGAACTTGTCGTCGTCATTGTCTACCTTCCTAAATCTTCGTGCACGTTCTCAAAGCCCAAAGCCCGCAGTCCTAGATTGACCCTCAGCTTTGCCCATGCATCCATTGGTCCATGTAAGGTACTTGAACCCATTTCCTTCTTTCAACATTCCGTGCACATCTAGACCGTTCGTATGCTTGGTTTCTTTGGTTAGATTTTGTTCTTCTGTCGCAGCAAAAGCATCAGATATGGCCGGGATATGGT